CAGCCTACCCCCCTCACCCCCCATCCCCTCACCCCTCATCCCCCTCACCCCCCCCCCCCCACCAGCCTCCCCACCCATTTTCCTCCGGAGATCGCCACCGCTAACGGCATCAACTGCTGAACGCCGAGCTTTACAGTTAAGCTAAATTTGCGCGACATCAGAGAGGGGGGAACCGCAACAGGGGAGGGGAAGGGATGGGAAGGGGAAGGGAGGGGAAGGGGAAGGGAAGGAAGGGAGGAGAGGGGAAGGGAGAGGCGAGGGAGGGGAGGCGGAGGGGAAGGGAAGGGGAGGGGAAGGGGCAAGTGGAGGGAGGCGGAAGGGGAGGGAGAGGGGAAGGCGGAGGAGGGAGGGGGAGCGCTTGAGAGGAGAGGGAGGGAGGGAGGAGAGGGCGCAGGGGACCGGGAAGGGGAGGGGAGGAGGGGAGGGAGGGGAGGAAGGGAGGAGAAGGGGAGGGGAAAGGGACACAAGCGAGAGGAAGGGGAGGGGAGAGAAAGGGATGGAGGGAGGAGGAGGCGGGAAGGGAGGGAAGAGAGGGGAGGGAGTGAGAGGAGGGGAGGAGAGGGCGTGAAAAAAGAGAGGGAGGGCAGGGAGGAGAGGGGTGGGGGGGTATAGAGGAGGGGAGGGAAAGGGATGGGAGGAGAGGGGAAGGGGAGGGCGAGAGAAAGGGGCAGCGGGACGGGGGAGGGGAAAGGGAAGGAGAGCGGGAGGGGAGGAGAGGGGCGCGGGTATAGAGGAGGGGAGGAAAAGGGTTGGGAGGAGAAGGAAAGGGGAGGGGAGGGGAGGAGAGGTGGTGGGGTATAGAGGCGGGAGGAAATGGATGGGGGACGAGGGGAAGGGGAGGGAGGGAGAGGGAGTATAGGGGAAGGGAGGAAGGAGGGAGGGGAAGGGTGTGGAGTTATAGGGGAGGGAGCGGGAAGGGAGGGAAGGGAGGGAAGTGAATGGAGGGGAGGGAAGGGGAAGGGGCAAGGGAGGGGAGCAGGACGAGGGGAAGGGTAAGGGAAGGGTAGGGGGAAGGCTGAGGGGAAGGGGGAACGGGTATAAGGGAGGTAGAGGGGTTGAGGGGGACTACAACTAGGACAGGGCAGGAGGGAGGGGAGGACGAAGGGGATCTTGACGGAGTCTTAAGGGGATCAATCGGTCAGAGGGGAGCGGATGATGATGCAAAGGAGCGGGAAGGACGAGGGCGTAGGGACAGTGGAAATAGGTAGATGGAGGATCGAGTGGGTAGTGATTAGAGGCGATAGGGGATAAGAGGAGGGTCCTGGAGGTGCTGAAGGTCGAAGGGAAGAGAGGGCGAGGGGTGAGCGCACGGGTAATCAGCGTGCTATGGTACGAACCAGCGGTGAGCTGTGCGCTAGTGCGTTGAGAAGGGAGGCAGAGCGAGCGGCGTAGAGTCGCGTGAGAGGGGACAAGGTAGTCGGGTAAGTCGAAGACAGGCAGCGGAACCTACAGTGAATAATTATGAGGGGAGGAGGTATGTGCTCGCGAGGGAGCGAGGATGAGAGACCAGAGCGAGTGAGTAAGGAAGGGAGGGGTGGGGCAACGGGAATGGCAGGGGAAGCGGGAGGAGCGCGGAGTTTAGCAGAGGTAGAAAAAGGGACGGGGAGGGGGAGGGGAGCGGGAAAGCATGGGAGGGGCAGTTAGAGGGGAGGGGAGGGGAGGGCGAGTGGGAGGAAAAGGGAGGGGAGAGGAGGGGAAGGGAGGGAGCGGGAGTGAGAGTGGGAAGGGGAGGGGAAGAGAGGGGAGGGGGGAGTTTAGGGGCCAAGGAGGGGGAGGGAAAAAGGAGGGGAGGGAAGGGGGAGGGGAGGGAAGGAGGGGCAGGTAGGGGAAGGAGAGGGGAGGGGGGTTGGGGAAGGAGCGGTGGGGAGATAGAGGAAGGAGGGAGGGGAGGGGAGGGAGGGAGGGTGGGAGGAGGAGTAGGAACGAAAGTGTAAAGTTCGTAGGGAGGAGGAGGAAACGAGAGGGACGAGGCAGGAGGAGGGATGGGGTTTCTGGGTGAGAGGGGGCGGGAAAGGGGGGGGTTAAGTGATTTGAATAATGGGAGAGGAAAAAAAGGAGAGATAGGAGAGAAAGATATAGAATAAAGAGGTAGGATGAGGGATAATAAAGGAAAGAA